AGACCACCACTGACCTGGATGTAATGGACCATCATGATTCCTGCTTTCCGGAGCGTAGCCTTCGACGCTTCAAGCCGTCCGTATCTAGGCCGTGGGTCGAACCAGCCCTCGGAGTTCTGTTCTAACCGTTGAGGCAAGAGGTTCTTTGTGCTGAGATCCCGTGACAGTAGCCGGCTTCGGCCGGCTGCTACGTCATCTTTCTGGAACTATCTTTCCCGAACTTTGAGCATACCGTGCTGTCCCGCTCCGAGGTGTTGAGCCGGCGAATGGTACGACCAGCTAAAGTGAAGTTTAACTCCTGAACACCTATAAATGCTCTCGGCATCTAACTGCCTGCAAAATTCGTTACTACAAAGATTTTAAGATGCCTCCACATGTGTGGTTAGTGCCCCCGGGTGAGTGGTTAGTGTCCCCAGGTGAGTGGTTAGCGTCCCCAGGTAGTGGTTAGTGTCCTCAGGTAGTGATTAGTGTCCCCAGGTTTCTGCCCTGGAGTGGGGCTTTCTGCCCTTGAGTGGTGCTCTCTGCCCCGGTGTGGTCTCCACTTTGGTGGCCCCGTTCTGTAGCCCTTCAGCCATTGAGAAATCTTGAGTTTTTTTTCAAGGCATCCAATTTTGTACCTGAAAACAAAATTCAATCAAATAACTTGAACTGTTCTGACATGGGGCCGCATTGAACCAGTCTTCAGAGGCTCCCATAAATTCCAATTAAAGAAAAGAAGAACCAGCCCTCGGTCGAACGGCCACTTGTCGATGGACGACAAATTTTGGAACTGAACTATGCTATCTGAAACCTAACCTCAGATGAGGTGAACGTAAAATTACATAATTAAACGATGACCGGAAGTCAGATTCGAACCGCGGCCTGGTAGTGCACGACAGGTTCTATGCGAGGCCGGAGGAAGGAAAAGCCGAGTGGTTCACGGCTGATTGGTGGATGTCCGGAGAGATCCAAGGCGTTCGATTCAGGGCTTATTGGTGCACAAAATTGGTGGTGCACGGCTGCGCTCTCACTAGCGGACTGCGATTAATCAGCCTAGCTCGCCTGTGGAACTGCATGAATCCTATCGTGCACTAGTGTTCAACCAAGGCTGAGCACTAGTTCAACCGTGGTGCACCACAGACCGCGGATCGAAAAAGACTTCCGATGCTTCGTTAAATTACGTAAGTTTTAGCTCATAGCATCTGGAGTTAGGTTTCAGATATCATAGTTCTGTTTCGAAATTTATCGTCCTACGACGAGTGGCCGTTCGACCGTAGGCTGATTCTACACATGGGACAGATTCGGACGGGTCAGAGGCGGGCTTCATAATCTCTGCATGGCTGCGGCGCGCTCCGTCCGGGTGGTGTAAATTTTTTTTCGCCTGGACGATGCTAGGCCATACTACGTCAGGCTACTTTCCTGTGTGCTGACTGATCTAATTCTATGGATGTTATCTGTCTGCAGGTTGCGGCTGATAATGTTGCAGTCGAGCAGTGTTATAGGCTACGTTCATGAGGGAAGGGATCATGATAGTCGAGAAAAGGTCAGTGTTGGTCTCCGACAGGCGTCCCAAAGTGACCGTCTGGTGGTGCATGGCAGGATTCATGCAGTTCCACTGGCGAGCTAGGCTTATTGATCGCAGTCCGTAGTACCTTGGTTATGTCAGGGTATGAAGTGATGATTCGATGTAACAGCAATTACCAATGAAAGATGTGAAATTTGTCTTCGACAAGTATCGGCCAGGGATACAATTTTTACACGGAATACAATTTTAATGCATTACATTATCAAACAGCATTTAATTTTTTAGAGCAATTCAATACATGCATCACATGATAGAAATATTTAAATGACACTAATAAAGTTTGAATTGTTTTGGATATCATTTGATTCAGTTCACTGCACTGAAGTCCTTCACAAAGTTTTGAACCATATTCATCTCATGTCTTGACTACGAATCTACGTGAATACAAGCCACTATGAACCACATTCACTTACTCGTTGTATAAATTTGTATGAAAGTAGTAAATTATACTTATTAATTGAATGAGTAATTAAAACCTAATTTAATAAATTAGTAACAAATACTCATATATATATACGACTTTATTAAATTGGGTCCATCATTTAGAATGACCTTGTATAATTCTATATAAATGCTAAATGGGAATGCTTTAAAAGATTCTCAATTTACCTAGTTCTATTAAAGACTGAACAAGACTGAACATATGCACCTGCATAGCTTCGTCTAGTCTGTTCTTGAAGGCGTTCATACTCGCAGCATCAACGTTGCGGTAAAGGCGGCTGTTCCACATGTCGGTGACTCGAAGCGCAAAGAAATGTTGTCGTAAGGATGTGTTACAACGCAGTTTTTTAGTTTATAGCCTTGACCCCTGGTGTTGCTTCTTGTTTCAAATTCTAGGAGTCTAGGACTCCTTCAGGGACCTTGTATAAGCCATGAGTATACTTGTACGCTTCAATGAGTTCTCCGCGCAGACGTCGTGGTGACCTGATAGATTGTTTCATATCTGATTGTTGCGGGACAGAGCTTTGTCGACGAATCTGAAAATTTCGTCATTCATATCGCTTTAATTGAACAGTACTAAAATAAAATTAGTCTTTCTCCTCTGATTAATGCGTCATCGATACTCGTAGACATGCACTTACTGACTGGTATTATAAATCATTCAGGCTACTACTCGGCTTCATGAATTCTACGTTAGTCATTTTTACCGGTCATGTACTTCAGAAAACAATAGTTATTACTCGAAGCAGACGTTTAATCCAATGTTTTATGAACATCGCTACTATAAACACTCAAATATTTCTTAACTGTTTTTTTTAAGTTATATTCAGGCAATAACCTCTCTATGCGTTACATGCATTAAGCAATTTCGGTAGCGATTATATGCGAGTTCTGTTTCTTCGTTGGTTTCTTTCTGTCATTGAAACAGCAGTTTAAATTGCGATTAAACTTTAAAAGCAGCACGACTAGAGAATTTGAAGTCCAGCGTTATAAAAAATTTAAATGGCGTATAAGTTATAATTACAATTTCGAAATAATATTAACTTATTTCCACAATTTAGGTGCGTTTGAAGCCCAAAAAATATTTGAACAATGATTATATTTTACCTAGGCTATTTTAATTCGAAAATTTGCCTCCGTATGATACATTCTGCCACTAAACCTCGATTAATTTCACTCGGTATTTTACTCGCATTGAAAACTTTTGTTGAATTAAATTGGCTTACAAGTCAAATCAATATAAATATAAATTTACCAGCTCGTCAAAGTGAGAACTTCAGCCATTGCTGCTGGCCCTCATTTAACTTGCATCCAACTACTTGTTAATAATACTGTTTTTACGAACTCAATTGCTGGGGTCCCCGCACGCTATAACGGAATTAGCATGAACTAATTAAAATAACTGAAAAATAACGACATATGAACGACATATGTCAAAGTAATTTTAAAGTTTCCGACATCTCAAGCTGTTGTGTGTAAAGAATAAAGATCAGTTGTCGCACTAAGAAAAGAAAAAAATCCTTGGGCCCAAACATTGAGCTGACGGTGATGATACCTGTTCAGAGTTTAGAAGTATTTAGATAACTTAAACATGGATTCAGTTCTGCGACATGTTTTTGGATTTAGTCCTTCAGAAATCGTTGACAAGTAAAATAGAGAAGCTCAAATATACTTCTGCTCAATTTCGTAACTTATGAAAAATATTTAAATTACTATAAGCATTTTATACCCGAAATAAAAATAATTGACCACATTTCTGGTCATTTCCGGAGACAGAACATTTATTACATTAGTTATATTTGTTCGGTACGAGTTACTGATAATGAAAATTTAAATTAAAGGAGGTTGATGGTCCGAAAAATATGATAAAACTCTTGCATTAGAGACGGAAAAGCAGGAATTTAATTGAGTCAGCTTGTTTCATTTTCTTACTAATTATCGTGATTGAAAACTCACGAATAGGAAACTACATTAATTTACGAATTAAACGCTTTTGTGCATGAACTTCGTGATTTTTAAATCAACTGAATAGTCATTACTTCTTAAACATATTTTAATTGGGAAAAATCATGGCAAATTGTAGTAAATTTATGATTGAAATCAAAAATGAGTTTGTGCGTCTAATTTAAATATTTTCAGTCTCACGGAAATCAACGTTTCATTAAATCTTTGCGATAATCATGCGTGATGATACCCCACTAGCGTGAGTATAGCGGTGCCCCCCGCAAAAAAAGTGAGGTTTATTTTTCTGAATAAAATATGTGTTGAAAATACAACTGAAAAAAGACTAGTCGACAAAATTCACTCGAAATTGTGAATTTTGCATATTTACATAAATTTCGTTCACATTGATTTATTACAAACTTAGCAATTACCAAAAACTGCAGCATATCTGATGAAACTGAAACAACTGCATAAATTATCACATGAAAAAATTTAGCTTTGCAATGTGAAGTGTTTTCGCTGCCAGAAATTCAAGTGCAAAATAAATTCTGGTCACCAAGAAATTAACATATCGCCACTGTCTCTGTTTATTGTGAAAGCAAATATATTCCGTTTAATGATGCTAACAGCTGCTAAATTTCATACCTAGGAGAATAATAACGCGTTTCTGCCATATAATAAGGGCACAGATCCCAAATTCGTTGAACAAAACTTAATGAATTATTTACTGCATTGCTGAGTTATAATTCCTTGTATGCAATTACGTTCATAAACGAAAGGCTGTTCGCCAGGCGACTCATTCAACAACTTTAAAATTCAACCTAGCTACCAGGGTAGGAAGGTGTTGAACTCTATCACTAATATTAACGAACGATATAAGTTTAATTTAACCTGCGTGTTTAATATAGCTCTGTTCCTGCGTGGGCAAAAAAAAATTAAACACAAATTAAACTTTCAATTGGACAAGCGCACAAGCTAATGGCGCTTTTTATCGAACAAACATGGCTCCATGTGCTAATGTCAGAAGTTACCTTCTTCAGTGACACGAAAGCGTCCGTCTCACAAGCACACTAGTGCTCCTATTGAGTACGCGACGCAGTGCAGTGGTGTGAACACGGTATTAAAAAGTCCTAAAAGTCCTTCAGTTTTAGGGTTTTTTAGGATCGACATAATTCAAACACCCGACCCGTTAATTCGGTTCACGCTTTTAGAGTAAGGGTTCTGAACACTTGAAATGTACGAAATCAAAAACTCATTTGCTATCGACACGAAGTGAAGGAAGGATAAGTGACTCGAGATGAGGGTCGGTACAGCCCTTACTATATACATGTTAGGGCTGGTGCGGGAAGGCCTGGGACGCTACAAGTACTGGAAGCCGGCGTCTGCAGACCTTGTCCGGTTATTCACTTTTAGTGGTCAAAACAGCTCTGGTGTTCTTACGTCCCAAATGCGATGCTGGAACTGGGCCACTGCAAAGGACTGGACTTTCCTGGCCTGTTACATCCCTCTCACCGACGGCTCAGGAAACTGCTCACTATGGGACGACAAGCCCATCAAGAATGGACTGGTTAACCTAACGATCACCCCAGGAACAAACAACTGCATGGCTGTCTTCAAAACTGACGGTTAGTGCAAATGCCCTAAACTCATAATATTTATAGTTTACTGAATCTCCCAATAAACTGTTGAATAAGCTAAATTAATTATAAACTTGGATCTGTAAAATTAGCATATAGTTTTGCGGAATTTTTTAATTTGGAGTAACAGAACTAAAAAAATGCCTCTGAAATATTCCGATTAGATTTTTTCTCAAAACTTTTCAATCCGGCAGTAAATGACATAAATTGATGATTTTTCCCATGTTATGCTTTAGTCTAATCTCACCAATGCAATATTATTATTATTATAGAACTTGAACGATAATCTGAGAATTATAACGCAACATTCATAAACGCATACAGCGGGCCTCATTTGAACCTATTAACCGACATGGAAGCTCCGGTCGCTTAGGAGCACAAAATTTTGCGAAATACAAAAAATGCGAACTTGAATTGTGAACAGAATTCTCTCATTCATCAGTTTTGTCATGCATTGAACATGTCAGTATAGAGCACCATTTAACGCTTCAAATTGACAGATTATTCTATGTCTTAAACATGAGCAGAAAAACAGGTAATCTACTTAGCTTTTAACAAGTTAACTGAAAAGAATCCAATTGACATACTTATAATCAATCAGGCTAACGGTGAGTTGTCGAAATACAAATATTTTGTAAAAAATCGCCTTGCATTTTTGAAAGTTTGTGATCTATTGCCTTCTTTCATGCAGTCTGCGTGCTGCCGGGAAATTCGCTCATGAAGGTTGGGGAGATGAAGAACAACTCGTTTTGTCCAAATGTGAAGGACGTTTGCCTGCCCAGTGGGATGATGGACGTGAAGAGTAAGACACAAGCCTGACGTTATTGCCATCCATGCTTCCCAATTATATAATAACTGGCATCTTGAGTTTATAAGATTTGATTACATTAAAATTAATAATGTTTGTGTTATTTCATTTTAGGTGATCTTCTTTTCGTTGCTTTCGTTCGTGTTCAGAACCTTTCCATTCATTTGGCAAAAGCGTAATTTGTTGGTTCAGTTATAAAGCTAATCGTATAAGCTATTGACCACGAAGGTCAGCTATAAAATATTTCTGAAAAAATTAAATAATTTCTGCAAAGAAGATTTTCGATGTTGGATCACCTTTTCATAGCCTATTGATCTCCTTCCAGCCGATCGCCAATCAGTTATTTTCTTGCTTTCACCTTCTAAATATAAAACCTTAATTCAGCCCTCGTTCCTGAGAAAAATAAATTTTAGCTTCCAGTATCTTTTTATTACAACACTTCTCTTTAACTTCACTTCTCGTCTGTTTGTTTGTTTGCTTGTTTTTTTGTTTGTCTGTCTGCTACAAATCTTATAATCAATATTTAACACACTTCTACCTGTCCAATTGATCTAAAATTTGGCACACTTACGTAAAGTTGAAGACAATGCATGAATCATTTAACAGAATATATAATTTCAAAATTATTTTTTTTTGTAATTTGAAAAATTGAAAAAATAATTTTGTCTTCTACAAATCTTATAATCGATATTCCACACACTTCTACCTGTCCAATCAATATGAAATTTTGCACACTTGTGCAAAGTTGAAGACAAGGCATGAATCAATTGACAGAATAAATAATTTGAAAAATTTTTGTTTTCATATATAATAATAAACAAATTAAAAATTAATTTTTATTAATATATGGAAATAAAATTAGAAATTCATTGTAGATGTGTAACATAGGAGACACTGTATTCTTTAGAAGTGTTGTCTTTAAAAAGTAATTTTAAACGCATATTATTATTACAAACCTTCTCTTTAACTTCACTTCTTGTTGTTTCTTTGTCTGTCTGCTACAAATCTTATAATCGATATTTAACACACTTCTACCCCTCAAATCGATCTGAAATTTAACACACTTGCGTAAAGTTGTAGACAATGCATGAATAAATTGACAGACTAAATAATTTTAGAAATTAGAAGAATATATATTTTTTAACATTAAAAAAATTTGGAAAAATAATTTTGTCTGCTACAAATTTTATTGTGAAAGCAAACATCGATATTTAAAGCACAATTCTACCGGTGTAGCGCGCACTTCTACCGGTCCAATCAATCTAAAATTTCGCACACTTACGCAAAGTCGGAGACAATGCATGAATTAATTGACAGAATAAAAATTTTTGAAAATTAAAGAAACTTTTCTGGCTATAAAATTATTTTTAATAAAAACACTTTTTTGTAATAAAAACAATTTTTTAATAAATAATTTTTTTCTAATATATGAAAATAAAATTAGAAATTTATTGTACATGTGTAAAATCGGAAACACTGGATTCTTTAGAAGTGCTGTCTTTAAAAAGTAAGTTTAAACGCATATTATTTATCAAATCGGATTTTAGCAGTGGAATCTGAAGTGAACATTGATAATATATGTTTAAAAATTACTTTTTAAAGACAACACTTCCAAAGAATCCAGTGTATCCAATCTTACAGATGTACCATGAATTTTTCATTTAATTTTCGAATATTAAAAAAAATAATTTTTCAATTTTTTTATATATAATTTTTTTATATAAAATTTTTAAATTATTTATTCTGTTGATTGATTCATGCATTGCCTCACACTTCACACAAGTGTGCAAAATTTCAGATCAATTAGACGGGGAAAAGTGTAATAAATATCAGTTATAAGATTTGTAGCTGACAAAATTATTTTTTCAATTTTTTTAATATTGAAAATTTTTTTAATTTTCAAAATCACTTATTTTTTCATCTGATTCATGCATTGTCGCCAACTTTACACAAGTGTGCAAAATTTCAGATCGATAGGATAAGTAGAAAATTATTAAATTTTGATTACAAGATTTGTAGCAGACAAACAAACAAACAAACAAACAACAAGAAGTGAAGTTAAAGAGAAGTGTTGTAAAAAATAGGGTGGGAGAGCTAGATTATACCAGTTATTTCATATATAATGTAATGAATTGAGTTTTTATTTATAATATGCCGAAGTATTGGTGGAAAAACTGTTGGAGTGAATATTCTAGCTTTACCCCGCTTTACCCCGAGACAAGTTCATTACGATAAGGTTCGGGACTTACTACGGATTAGAGTCACGACGTTTATGACACTCGATCGAACATTTTAAATCAAGCTTTGTTGTCGTGAGAGAGCACAGAGGATTCACCCGCAGTTGATTTTGTTGCTTTTCTGTAATACCTACAAGCATTGGTAACAGAAAAGCCAGAACGCTAAAAAACAAACGTCAGAAATTTGATTTCGTCTAATCAAGTTAAGAGTTTAGCTGCAACTCGGTTCCGGAACCACGATGAAATGTTATCCCGCTATTACTGAATGATAGGTAGGCTAATGAATTTCTCTTTAGATGAGATCCACTTTCTCTTTCTTTCTATGCGACGATTAATTCGTATCGTACCTTAAAATTCAAGATTTTTTTTCCGAGTCATTTCGTTCAGTCATATCTATACGAATTGGCAAATAAATGATAAATGCATTTAATACTTGAACTAAATGAAAGCCACAATTCTTTGAAAGAAACTCAGCTAAACAGCAGATCTTCCCTCTCTTGCCCTCAGGAGCAGCAGCGCCTCAGAGCTGCCCTGCACCCTTCAATGTCTCCGGTGACTTGTGTCTGATGACGACGCCCGTGGTGCCCGTGGTGGTTAGACTTAGGTGGTGTGATGCACGCGGATTCTGCCTGAAGAATGGAGCAGACCTCGCCACTGTGCGCACCGACCAAGAATTCCAGCAGTTGCAAGCGTTCTTTGTTGCCTTTGGACGGACAAGTAAGTGCAAGAAATTGTATTTAAAGGTAAATTGATCAACGACCATTTCAATATTCGATGCAGGTACATAATTTGCAGCAATGCTGTGGTATTAATTCTTCGAGTATAAAATTTACAACACAATGACGTCGAAATAAGAAATAAATTTGAAAGGTGCGTGAAAATGATTTCATTTACAAGGGTAATGGTACATGTATTCCTGGGTTCTGGTAATGTATTGCTTTGGTGGTATAGTACCTTCGACGTTGAAGAATAGGCCTATGGCTGGTTCTTGTACCTTTCGTGACTTGTTGTTGATTTGTTGGCGCTGATTGTTTGAAAAATTCTAAATATTTTTCGAACATCATCCTACACAAAATTATATAACTGCACTAAAATGTCAAACTGACCTTTTGACAAGATCTTTCAAACCGACGTTGGTTTTCGTCATCACTGGACTTTTACTAATTCCGTAGGGTGCTAGGCATTTAAAGACTGAATATATTCTTTTGCATAACATTGTCTGATTTATTATTGAATGCGTTTATACTCGGAGCGTCAAAAATATCATCAGGGAGGCTGTTCCACATGTCGGTGACTCGAAACGAAAAGAAGTGTTGTCGCATGGAAAAGTTGCACCGCAGTTTTTCAGTTTATAACCGCGGTTCTTGGCATTGGTTCTTGCTTTAGGTTCTAGGAATCCTTCTGTTACGTATAAATTATGAGTATATTTGTATACTTCAATGGGTGCCGCCACACAGACGTCGATAACAGTCTTGGAAGCTTCATAATTTCTAATCATTCTTCATAAGATTTGCGTTTTAAGAATGGAATTATCCTTGTAGCATTTCTCTAAAGAATCTCGACTAAATTTTTGTCCATTTCAAACTTTGGTAACCACACGGCGTTTCTAAACTCTAGGTTCAGTCGCCCGACAGCGACAAACAACGGCTTCATCGCTTCTGCACCTAGGTACTCGTAGCAGCGTCTGATCAGCCCAAGCAATTTATTGGATTGATTACCTTGCATTTCAATATGCCTCGAAAATTTCAACTCCTTGTCGACCTAAACTACTAGATCTTTTTCACTGTCGACTTTTCAATCCTAACTCTCTCGTTGCAATGCAACCATGCCTTCTAAGCTTGCTGTTCATAGTTCATGCCGATGTGGATTACTGTACGCTTGTCAGCATTAAAACGCAGCTGCCACGTATCAGCACAGTCAACTAAACTATCAAGATCATCTTCCAGTTGCGCTTTGTTTGACGCATCCTTAACCGTGTTATAAACTTTTGTGTCATCGGCTTACATGGAGCACACGCTTGACACTACTGGAAGATCGTTTATCAAAGCAACGAACAATACAGGCCCATGAACGCTTCCTTGTGGCACGCCGCCCGGTCTTCTTCGTTTTCATTAATACTGACCCGTTGTCTAGTATCTATTAGGAAATCCTTGATCCATTAGAGTACATTTTCCTCCATTTCCAAAGACTTCACTTACGCAACAGCCGCTTATGCAGAACACTGTTAAATGCCTTGGCAAAATCGAGGTACACTGCACCTACTGGCTCCCTCTCGTCCAGCAGACGAGTCCAAACATTCAAGGTATAGACAAGATATTAGTGGTGCATGATCTGCCGGAAATAAAGCCATGCTGACAGTCTGATAGGAGATGGTTAACAGAATAACAGTCAAGTGATCGATAAACCTATACCTTACAACAGATTCCATTACCTTGCAGACTGTCAGGGCGATAGTTAGCGGGGATACTCTTGTCGCCTTTTCTGAACGGAGGTGTCACTTGTGCTTCTTCCCAATCGGCCGGAAAAATTCCCTTTGTTCAAGATTATTTGACAGATTGTCGATAAGAACGGTTGATAATTATTTCAGTAATCTAGGTTGGAAACATTTCATAAAGGTTATGTTAGATGGAATGTTATTCTCATAGAATTAGTTAACTGTTTATTATTAATTTTGTTTTGCATTAGTACCCGTATACGTTCATTCAGCTCGTATTGATTCCGTTCTACCAGTCAGTTCAGACGGATAGTGATAATGGTAGTTATCGCCAGGGTTGAAAGATTGGATTTTTCGGCCAAATTCCCCAGTTTTTATTTTCAATTGCGTTGGTTGGCAAAAATTTATGATGGCGGTACTTGCTTACTGTATTTTACGAAAAATTAATAATATAAAAGTGTATTTTTGCGCATCATTCTACAAATTTACTAGTAACAATTGAATTATGAGCCTTTTTGACATTTTTTATTCGCGGACTTGAGGCCATTTTAGACCGTCTGGAAATCCAGGTTAATGTGTTGTGGGAGATGGAGGAGAAGGCCGTGGCAAAAATAATTTAGTTTCTCATAAGCCCGAACTTGGATTCTTTGTCTTCTGGCCTGGATTTATCGTCATCGAGCAAGTCAAGGATGAATGAAGAAAGAAATAAATTATCTAGTATCCAGATATGAACAGAAGGGAGCATAGACTGATGCTCGAGAGAATAAAGTCTAATTTTTAAGTGCATTCATGAAGCGTACGCTTATTTAACGGTGTATAGGTTGCATGCAGGTCGATTCACGGAAGGACAAAAGTAGGCATACGAACACTTCCCACAGAAGTCACTTCATTATCATTTACGCATGTAGTCTATGGGACCTACTTTTATGCATTTACAGGCTCTCCCATATGGTTAGGCAGCTACAAGACCGCTGATGGACAGTGGGTGTGGCTCAACAGCTACAGGAACCCGTACACCAAGCCAGACTGGTACCCCGGACGGCCTGGCGCTGGCCAATGCGGACATTTCAACACGTCTACTGCGCTGCTAGCCGACTCACCCTGCACCACGTCTAACAGCGTTCTGTGCAGGGCAATGGTGGCTCCGTAGAGGCGGTGATCCATCGTGTACTGGGACTGCTTCGTCCGAAACATGTACTAAGGATATGGGTACTAACTATATAGTGCTGGCATTGGGCCTGCAGTGATTTTAGTGAAGCGGTCTTGTTTGAAAAATTCTGAATATTTCACGAACATCATCCTACACAAAACTATATAACTGCACCGATAATAAAAACGGTTCACTAGTTTGCACGTGCAAAAAATTCGGTCTGTGAATAGACTGAGATTTTCATTAGATCGCAATCTTGATACAATTTTGAAAGAAATATTATTCATATATAAACTTGCACTGCCTGAACTGAAGCATGCAAACATTAATGAATTGTTTGTTCTTGAAGCATACAGAAATTTCTAGTATTACTTACGAGCGCTAATTTTTTTCAAAATAACTTATTTATCTCATTTGTGATTTCTCATGAAATTTCTGGATTTATTGAAATTTATTATATAACCCAAAATTTTATCGGGATTAAATTATTCACTCTATACATGAGTCATTAGTGTCAATATCAGAAATTTCAGAATAAAATTAAGCTTTTAATAGACGATGCATCCTAAATGATTGCAAAGTTACAACACAAATAGTTATTACTGGAATTTAATTCTAAATAATTATATTATATTACTCTTTAAGGAAAACCAGATAGCCAGTGAATAAGCATTTAGGAAGCACCGATTTTTAATTCTATTTAACAATTTCGCGAGCAGGTTACCATACCAGGAAACTTGTATTATGTCTCGATGTAAACCTTTCACGTTCCACTCTCAACGTTCAATGATACAATATCATGATTTTTTCATTTTCCTTTCATCTGCATAGTAATCTATTCAGAATATCGGGACCCGCCAAGCTGCATAGTATGATAAGAAGAAAACAAGTAAGTAGTTACACTCACACAAATATTTTCAAGATGATTCTTCAGCTTTGTATATTACAGAAATATTAATACCGTAATCAGTATTACCGCCATTAATTCACCATCTGTATCATATATTTAAATTTATATAATATTCAATGTTTTACCTATATTCAGATTATTTACGACGTATCAACCAATTGCAATGTGATGGAGCAATTTTCAAAATTGAGACAAATTGCACAAGCAGTGCATATTTTGTAAATTTGTGTGGTCCGGTCATACTTTGAATAATCAAATTTCTTCGTACTATTCTAAAATATATACAAAATATGTACAGTTGAACAATCTTAAGAGGATTCGAGAAGTCATAGAAAACGTAACGAAATTTATCTATATGCCCTATGTTAAAATTTCTAATTTAGTGTTTTCGGCGCATTTTCTTTGGTCGAATTAAATTGCGTTGAATTGTTTCATTCCTAAAAGTCAATTACTCGTTATCAGATATGTTCATAAGTTTTTTAACGTTTCATTTTGAGCTCCTAAACATGTGACAGATGAACTATCTATAAAAACTAACTTGGCTCGATGGGATTTATTATTTTTTATTTAAATAGGAATGAAATTTCTGGACAGTGAAACCCCATCATCACATTCTTCTAGAGTTTAATTACATTAATTATGCACCGAAAGAATTTTATTGTAGAGTAAGTATACGCACTAGTTTATAACTGGAAAACCTAATATTGTAATGGCTGAAATATCATCTTATATATTCAAGCATTTTGTAATTTATTTAAATCTACGGTCTATACTCCCCACGTTTAAGTATCTATCCGTATCGTCGATTCAATATTTATATCGATTTATCAGGAAATAAAAATGTATTTGACGTTGATAATAAGTTCATGATACGATATAAACATAGAAAACAATAATGCAGCTTTGAATTCAGCACACGGAAGTCCTCGATAGTCTTAGACAAAACCGCGACGTTAGCATGCAATATAGAATTTCGAGAAATTAAATAAATTCTAACAAGTTATTTGTGACTATTAATATTTGTATCCCTCTACTAGCTTTCAAGTTTACTGCGTGACAACACTGTACAAGATTTGAGACAACATTGCTACTATGCGCACAACTGTGCTCATATTGATATAACTCTCTAACAATCTCCCACTATCGCGTGAAAAATACATTACTACATGTTACATCACTACATATTACATTACTACATATTACATTACTACATATTAATATTATGTATTACGTAAAACATGTTGGACAACTATCACTTGAGTGACAAAATCATTATTTTTGCAGCTTCAATGAATGTTTTGAAAATTGATAGGAATAAATGGACGTAATTCCATTCATATATTGCTTTCCATATCAAATTAATGAATTGGCATAATTATTTTTTAAAATGGCCGCTACAGTCTCACACTTCTAGCTGCGACGAAACGTGTACTAAATATTATTGTCCGACTTGCGTATCATAGGAACTGTGCATAACAAATCTACAAGCCGGTAAACATGAGGCAGGCCGCTATGACGACCACGTATTGATCAACGTTCAATTTAGGCGGCTTGTACGTTCCGTTGTGCGAGATGGAGCTTTTTGTCATCATTTTCAGAGTACATTTTACCGTCTTGGTCAAACGCTGGCAATGGTTCGGTTTTGAAACATGCGAGCTGTTCATAGGCTCGTATTTATGAAATAATAACCAATCCTCGAGAAGGCATTGAAATCGATTCAAAATGTTTATATTCCAGTCATACATTCATGAAATAGAAATAAATTTGAATATAAGGCGAAAATATAAACCAATGCTAACCGGCGCAAATACTTGAATGAAATTCTGCACACTGCTATATTGACCTTGCATCTCACGAAAAAATGTGATGTTCGAATTGATAAATATATTCTGGCTTTGCATTGGGCGATTGAATGCTGTTATGATTTGTAATTAATTCGACCCATGAAAGTCTCTGATCAATAATGATAAGCTTTTAAACAATTTGTCCTGTCTTATAAGTTTTGCATGCCAGCGTTATTTTAGTACCGTCTCGTACGGCATTCACTAACACTACGAGGTAATTTTGCATGTAGATGTAATTCACATTGATTATTTATAAGCTGAATCAGCAATATCCCCAGATTTCTGCTATTAATTCACCTTAATTATTTATAGATTGAATCCGCAATATGATCAGGTTTCTACTATTAATACGGTTTATGACGCGAGTACCTCAAATGTAATTCATATATGATTTGTAATATCTAATGTTGTAATTTTTCAGTACCAAAAGTTTCATACAATGCGCAACAAAACTATGTGGAACAGCGCACTTGAAATTTCAAAGTCGTCAGGCTTCATTTAGAATTAAACCTGCTGATTTTTTACCATGAATTAATTTCCATTTTGAGTTGCAATTGAAACCTAAAAAATTATTAACTCCTGTACATTAGTGTCGGTAGAGCGTGAATCAATTTAGCAATTTCAGAAGTTTATAGAACGTGCAATTTGACAATGAGTTAAGAGTTTAATTCTGCCAGTCTATTTCTAGCCAACTTTGCTACTCTCATCAACGAACCAATACAAAATGAGCGTGTAAAGAACCCATTAATAACATCGATTTTGAAGTCACGCAGAGCGGCTGATGTACCTTTTATTCATTAATAATCCAATGAAAATCTAATTCGCGTCGCAGAAAAACTGTTTTTCTATAACCCGTTCCGTAATTAATTAAGAATTATGTCCCAAAAACTCGCAATGAAAACAAGTCGCAAAAAATATATGTTTAAGTTGTCAGATTTATGTGCATGAATAAATCACGGATAGTCAAGGTGACGGAGAGTCAAGGTAGCTACACGGAAGAGACGCCGGGGTCTACATACCATGCAGTGTTGTCCACTTCGAATGATCAGATCTACCGTTGCGCTCGTAGGTCTCAATCACTGCATATTATGTGAAGTTAAAGGCAACTAAAATTTTATAAAAGCCGAAGATGTCTAACCAAATAGTATTTTTTATGTATTCTTCTATGTTCCAACCAATACAATAATAAAATTCTGATTACGTCACTAACCTGGTGTGAACTGTTGATTAACCTTCAGCAAACTCCGCGAACCAAAATGATTAGTAATGTAATGTCTTGTTCAAACCTAAAATATGCTTAATGTCTCTGCATAAATGCATATCCTTTATACATAACTTTAGTTTGGTATATTAAGGATAGCTAATTATGATTATGAGTGAAGCTTGATTAACGTCTTGCTTTATGATATTCATAGTTTAGAAAAATTTAGTTAATTTAAATCAATTGGTAGAATTATTTTGATTATTTTGAACGACTGCTATCTCAGTATCTACCTATGAAACTATTTAGGTGAATTAGAAACAATAAAAATATTTTTTTATTCATGCTTTAATATATTGAACGAAGCATTTAACTAATCCACAAGCCTTCAGATACGCAAAATACTAATAAAACTGATATTACAAATACATGTACAGATATAACAAATATTCATGAAATTAAAAAATTATATAGTAAGATGTGTTTAATCCCATTGCTCGTTATTGTAGCATGAGATTCACTGACCTTTAGTACGATAAATATATACTGACTCAAGCATGTCTCACCTCAGTAATGTCGAGAAATTTGTTGCAGTCAGACAATCATTCTGACGCATAAATTCAACTGTTTTTTTCCTTAATTAGGAAAGCTAATCATGTGTCAAATATTTTTACTTTAATGAATTCTATTATATCTACTAATGTCATGGAAATTTCTTTCAGTGAATGAAGCAATGACATTCGATGAAATTTATATAACGGATTTTATTTGCGAAAGAAATTCTTACTTCTACTTCTTGTTTGGTGGTTTATTGGAAAAAAGTTTATATTCAAAAATCATATGCACTCGTAATTATAGTCATAACATTGTAAGACAAATAATAATTTTTATTTGTTTCTAGAGATTTTCATCGCGCATGGGATCAATTTAGATAACAAATCAGCTTTTTTAATCAAAATGTTGGGCGAGCGCATGTTTCACAAGAAAAATAAATACATGAATAAACGCATTAAATCACGAAATATTATGACAACACTGAGATATATGACAACACATAATATGTATTTAATCTCATTGGTGTTATTTGCTGTGTGTTTCTTATGAAACATGAGAAAATATGCTCCAATTTCATTGAATAGTTATTAAAACTGACGTATTTTATCAGAAAAATCAAATTTTATCTATTACAAAGTTTTTGGAAACTTTGTGCTGCAGGAATTCAGTTTGCTTTGCCTGTCAATAACTGTAAAATGTCTTCAATTCGCTTTACATGTCAGTAGCTGCAACATGTCGATATTGAAAATACATCTCATTGTCGTGGGTATATGAGCAGGTTCTGCTATCAGGTGAACCTAACAGTCATATTGAAATACTTTATTTCATATCAATAATTATTTCAGACTTTCTGCATAAAAATGAGACACGTAGCACATGTTTAC